TGCCTCACTCAGTTGTTGCCCGGGCGATGAGGATTGCCTGGTTGAATGACCCTCTAATGGGCTAGATGCCTCACTCAGTTGTTGCCCGGGCGATGAGGATTGCCTGGTTGAATGGCCTTTTGATGGGCTAGATGCCTCACTCACATTTGCCCGGGCGGTAAGGATTGCCTGGTTGAATGGCCGTCTGATGGGCTAGATGCCTCACTCAGTTATTGCCCCGGCGGTAAGGATTGCCTGGTTGAATGGCCGTCTGATGGGCTAGATGCCTCACTCAGTTGTTGCCCGGGCGATGAGGATTGCCTGGTTGAATGACCCTCTGATGGGCTAGATGCCTCACTCAGTTGTTGCCCGGGCGATGAGGATTGCCTGGTTGAATGGCCGTCTGATGGGCTAGATGCCTCACTCAGTTTTGCTCATGCGGTAAGGATTGCCTGGTTGAATGGCCGTCTGATGGGCTAGATGCCTCACTCAGTTTTGCCCCTGCGGTAAGGATTGCCTGGTTGAATGGCCTTTTGATGGGCTAGACGCCTCACTCAGTTGTTGCCCGGGTGATGAGGATTGCCTGGTTGAATGGCCTTTTGATGGGCTAGATGCCTCACTCAGCTATTGCCCGGGCGGTAAGGATTGCCTGGTTGAATGGCCGTCTGATGGGCTAGATGCCTCACTCAGCTATTGCTCGGGCGGTAAGGATTGCCTGGTTGAATGACTCTCTGATGGGCTAGATGTCTCACTCAGTTATTGCCCGGGCGATGAGGATTGCCTGGTTGAATGGCCGTCTGATGGGCTAGATGCCTCACTCAGTTTTGCCCATGCGGTAAGGATTGCCTGGTTGAATGACCCTCTGATGGGCTAGATGTCTCACTCAGTTGTTGCCCGGGAGGTAAGGATTGCCCCCCCCCCCCTCCGATGTTAACTTGACGGATCGCCTGGCTGGCCCAACGATTAAAAACGCTGTGCTCTCATGCGCTCGAATCCTCGCTAAGGTTATGATGCTGCTTTGGGCTGTCGGAGAAAATACAATAAAAATCCTCACCTGCCGTCCCTGGCCACTGCACCAAATCAAGACAAGTTGTCCTACACGACACCCTCTAGTAGTCGCCTAGTGACAATCTTTTAATCTCTTCTAGAACGAACAGGTCGACATGGCTTCACTGCAATAAATAAGTGTTTACATGCATAATAATAATAATAACCCCTCAATTTACAATGGTCTAGGGCGCTGTCAGATTTGTCGCCTCCATTCAGACAAAGAATATTTGACACGGACATTTTACACACGAGGTTAATGAAGAACACAGGTGGGAAGCCGGGTACAGGGAGGCGAAATGTTTTCAGTACGAGTAAATGTGTAAGTGTTGGAGGCAGACAATCCGTCGTCTATGGTAGTGTGTATAAATCATAGACATCTGATGTGATTGTTAGATCATAGACGGGAGATGTAATTCTTAGATCATCATAGACAAGAGATGTGATTGTTAGATCATAGGCGGGAGATGTAATTCTTAGATCATCATAGACAAGAGATGTGATTGTTAGATCATAGGCGGGAGATGTAATTCTTAGATCATCATAGACAAGAGATGTGATTGTTAGATCATAGGCGGGAGATGTAATTCTTAGATCATCATAGACAAGAGATGTGATTGTTAGATCATAGGAATAGGCGGGAGATGTAATTCTTAGATCATCATAGACAAGAGATGTGATTGTTAGATCATAGGTGGGAGATGTAATTCTTAGATTTAGATCATCATAGACAAGAGATGTGATTGTTAGATCATAGGTGGGAGATGTAATTCTTAGATCATCATAGACAAGAGATGTGATTGTTAGATCATAGGAATAGGCGGGAGATGTAATTCTTAGATCATCATAGACAAGAGATGTGATTGTTAGATAATAGTAATAGGCGGGAGATGTAATTCTTAGATTTAGATCATCATAGACAAGAGATGTGATTGTTAGATCATAGGTGGGAGATGTAATTCTTAAATCGTCATAGACAAGAGATGTGATTGTTAGATCATAGGCGGGAGATGTAATTCTTAGATCATCATAGACAAGAGATGTGATTGTTACCTCATATGAAATGTGACTGTTAGATCATAGACAGGAGATGTGATTCTTAGATCATAGACAGGATTTTTGATTGTTAGATCATAGACTAACTTGACTAAGACAGGAGATGTGATTGTTAGATCATTGATCATAGACGTGAGATGTGATTGTTAGATCATAGACAGGAGATGTGATTGTCAGATCATAGACTAAGACAGGAGATGTGATTGTCAGATCATAGGCTAAGACAGGAGATGTAATTGTTAGATCATTGATCATAGATGGGAGATGTGATTGTTAGATCATAGACAGAAGATGTGATTTTTAGATAATAGACTGAGACAGGAGATGTGATTGTTAGATCATTTATCACAGACGGGAGATGTGATTGTTAGATCATAGACAGGAGATGTGATTGTTAGATCATAGACAGGAAATGTGATATGTTTGTTAGATCATAGACAGTAAATGTGATGTAATTGTGAGATCATAGATAGGAGATGTGATTGTTAGATCATAGACTAAGACAGGAGATGTAACTGTTAGATCATTGATCATGAATGGGAGATGCGATTGTTAGATCATAGACAGGAGATGTGATTGTTAGATCAAAGACAGGAGACATGATTGTTTGATCATAGACAGGATATGTATTTGTTAGATTATAGCAATAGATATAATTGTTAGATCATAATAGACAGGAGATGTTATTGTTAGATCATAGACAGGAAATGTGATATGTTTGTTAGATCATAGACAGGAAATGTGACATGTTTGTTAGATCATAGACAGTAAATGAGATGTAATTGTGAAATCATAGATAGGAGATATGCTTTCTCTTTTAGATCATATACAGGAGATGTGATTGTTAGATCATAGACAGGAGATGTGATATGTTTGTTACAGCATAGATAGGAGCTGCGATGTCTTTATTAGATCATAGTCAGGAGATGTAATGTGATTATTGGATTATAGATATGAGATGTGGTGTCTTTATTGGATCATAGACAGGAGATGTGATGTGACTGTTGAATCATAGAAATCAGATGTGGTGTCTTTTTTAGATCATAGACAGAAGATATGATTGTTAGATCCAAGACAGGAGACATGATGTCTTTATTAGATCATAGACAGGAAAGTGGAGTTTACAAATGTTGCATGTAACGTCTGACAGGTAATCATATAGTCTGTAATACTCCTTCACACAATTAAACATCTAGATTGTATTTCACATATGCAAAATGTAGACTACAACCCCACTTTTTATATGTAAGCACCACATTATAGTTCTCGCACAGGGAAGACCAGGGGATGTCCTGATGGAGTCCATACACCTGGTGCCCCCCCCCCCCCCCCCCCCCCCCCCCACTCCCTAACCAGAACCAGATGTTCCACATTTACAGCTGTATATCCCACAAGTCATTCACCCAATAGATGTCCTGAAGGAGTCCAAACACCTAACGCCCCCACACCCTAACCACAACCAGATGTTCCACATTTACAGCTGTATATCCTACAAGTCATTCACCCAATAGATGTCCTGAAGGAGTCCAAACACCTGGCGCCCCCACGCCCTAACCACAACCAGATGTTCCACATTTACAGCTGTATATCCCACAGTAATTCACCCAATAGATGTCCTAAAGGAGTCCAAACACCTGGCGCCCCCACGCCCTAACCACAACCAGATGTTCCACATTTACAGCTGTATATCCCACAGTCATTCACCCAATAGATGTCCTGAAGGAGTCCAAACACCTGGCGCCCCCACGCCCTAACCACAACCAGATGTTCCACATTTACAGCTGTATATCCTACAAGTCATTCACTCAATAGATGTCCTGAAGGAGTCCAAACACCTGGCGCCCCCCCCCCCCCTCCCCCCACCTCGCTAACCACAACCAGATGTTCCACATTTACAGCTGTATATCCCACAGTCATTCACTCAATAGATGTCCTGAAGGAGTCCAAACACCTGGCGCCCCCACGCCCTAACCACAACCAGATGTTCCACATTTACAGCTGTATATCCCACAGTCATTCACTCAATAGATGTCCTGAAGGAGTCCAAACACCTGGCGCCCCCACGCCCTAACCACAACCAGATGTTCCACATTTACAGCTGTATATCCTACAAGTCATTCACCCAATAGATGTCCTGAAGGAGTCCAAACACCTGGCGCCCCACTAACCACAACCAGATGTTCCACATTTACAGCTGTATATCCCACAAGTCATTCACTCAATAGATGTCCTGAAGCAGTCCAAACACCTGGCGCCCCACTAACCACAACCAGATGTTCCACATTGACAGCTGTATATCCCACGTCATTCACTCAATAGATGTCCTGAAGCAGTCCAAACACCTGGCGTCCCACTAACCACAACCAGATGTTCCACATTGACAGCTGTATATCCCACAGTCATTCACTCAATACACACATAGGCCCACCATAAGCTTAGGGATTTTTTAATTTTTTTAAAATCAGGCTGTCTCCTCTAGAGCCATAATGTTTTGTGTCTCTTTGGGCATGCACAACGGTCCTGACTGTAGAGGGAGTTTCTTGGTCAAAGAACTTATGACCTAAGTGTGCATCTTTGGGCATGCACAACGGTCCTGACTGTAGAGGGAGTTTCTTGGTCAAAGAACTTATGACCTAAGTGTGCATCTTTCACACAGCAGGTACAAGTACTCACAGGCCTAGATCAAACTCTCACGAGGAGGAGGGGGTGGGAGGGAACAGCTGGTGTGTTTTACTTTGTGAGACACCTATAGCCTTGTATCCTGACCATTGTGTATTCCGGTGCAAAAGTTTCATAGGTGGCAATTTCCATATAGTTGTGGCTGAGGAAACATCTATACTGTAACTTCCTGCATGTAAACATTTACTTTCTACATGTAAACATCTACATTGTAACTTTTGGCAGGTAAACATCTAGAAATGGAAGAATCTTCACAAGCTTCTTTGGCAGATGGCTCGATGCCAGAAACGCCAATGATAGATGACTCAGTGTCAAAAACTCCCAAGATAGAGGGTTCGATGTCAGAAACTCCCATTATAGATAGCTCAATGCCTGACGCTCCCATGATAAATGGCTCACATAAAGTGGGGAAGGAGACTCTAAGAGACAAGTTGAGCAGCCAAGTGTACAGAAGTCGTGTGATACACTCCATCTGGTTGTCAGCATCAAGCTTCACACTGGTAAACACTTGCCGCTTGTTTGTGTGTAGACTTTAGATAGAACGTCCTCTATAGATACTGGTAAACACTTGCCATTTTGTGTGTGTAGACTTTAGACAGAACATCCTCTCTAGATACTAGCAAATACTTGTTATTGTTTGTATCTAGACTATAGACAGAACATTCTCTCTAGACATTGGTAAACACTTGTTAAGGTTTGTATGTAGACTATAGACTGAATATCCTCTCTAGACACTGACACACACTTGTTCATGTTTGTATGTAGACTATAGACTGAATATCCTCTCTAGACACTGGCACACACTTGTTAGTGTTTGTATGTAGACTATAGACTGAATATCCTCTCTAGACACTGGCACACACTTGTTAATGTTTGTATGTAGACTTTAGACAGAACATCCTCTCTAGACACTGGCAAACACTTGTTAAGGTTTGTATGTAGACTTTAGACAGAACATCCTCTCTAGACACTGGTAAACACTTGTTAATGTTTGTATGTAGACAATAGACTGAATATCCTCTCTAGACACTGGTAAACACTTGTTAATGTTTGTATGTAGACTATAGACTGAATATCCTCTCTAGACACTGGTAAACACTTGGTAATGTTTGTATGTAGACTATAGACAGAACATCCTCTCCTCACACTGGTAAACACTTGTTAATGTTTGTATGTAGACTATAGACTGAATTTCCTCTCTTGACACTGGCAAACACTTGTTAAGATTTGTATGTAGACTTTAGACAGAACATCCTCTCTAGACACTGGTAAACACTTGTTTGTGTTTGTATGTAGACTATAGACTGAATATCCTCTCTAGACACTGGTAAACACTTGTTAATGTTAGTATGTAGACTATAGACAGAACATCCTCTCCTCACACTGGTAAACACTTGTTAATGTTTGTTTGTAGACTTTAGACAGGATATCCTCTCTTGACACTGGTAAACACTTGTTAATGTTTGTATGTAGACTATAGACAGACCATCCTCTCTAGGCACAGTGTAAAACACTTGCCGGTGTTTGTATGAAATCTATAGACAAAATATCCTCTCTAGATCATGGTAAACACACTTGCAGCTGCTTGTATGTAGACTATAGACAGAACATCCTCTGCACAAAATGGTAAACATTTGCCAATGTTTGTGTATAGACTGTATGCAGAAAATACCGCTAAACACTTTTTGAAATTCAAGATGTATGTTACATTTGCTTCTATCTTGTCTTCTAATCTGTCCGCTTAAACATTCAAGAGTTGTCTGTCTGCTTAAATATTCTAGAGTTGTCTGTCTGCCTAAATATTTAAGAGTTATCTATTATTTCTGTTGTCAAATAATGCTTACATCTTGTTTCAGAATTATGCTTATATCCATCTACATGAGATGTCTTCTTCTGCTCTTAAATGTTGTCTGTCTGCTTCCACCTTCTCTTGCAATGGGTTTACTTTATCTTCCAGTATTCTGCCCATACATCTGCCTACATCTACTTCTACTTGCTAATCTTGTCTCCATATTTCTACATGCAAGTCTTGTCTGTTTACTTCTATTTGCAAGTATTGTCTGTCTACTTCTCCATGCAAGTTTTGTTTGCCTACTTCTACAATATAGTTTTGTTTACCTAATTTTGCATTTATGTCTTGTCTGTCTACTTCTACATTCAAGTCTTGCCTGTCTGCTTCCACTGGCAAAGCTTTTTTTTTGGGCCTACTTCTGCATGCAAGTCTTGTCTGTCTACTTCTACTTGCAAGTCTTGTCTGTCTACTTCTGCATGCAAGTCTTGTCTTCTATTTCTATTTGTAAGTTTTCTCTATCTAATTCTACTTGCGTCTTGTCTGTCTACTTCTATTTGCAAGTATTCTCTTCCTACTTCTGCAGGCAAACCTTGTCTGCTCACATGAAAATCTAGCAGCTGAATTCCCTCTTACCACTCTGAGTCTGTCACATTGACAATGCCACTCTGAGTCTGTCACATTGACAATGCCACTCTGAGTCTGTCACATTGACAATGCCACTCTGAGTCTGTCACATTGACAATGCTACTCTGAGTCTGTCACATTGACAATGCCACTCTGAGTCTGTCACATTGACAATGCTGTTCCTGATTTTAGGGCATCATCTTTGGGCAGCAGGGACCAACATTCCTGGATCTGCAGATCATCACCGGCACTGATGTAGAGTCTGCCTCATTTTTCTTCACCGCTGCATCTTTTGGCTACATGGTTGGCTCATTTGTCAGTGGATTTCTGCATGGCAAGGTAAGTCAGTGCGAGGTTACAGGGCATTGTTCTCTTGCTAGTAATCTGACATGGTTACATTATCTGACATGGTTATATTATCTGACATGGTTACATTATCTGACATGGTTACATTATCTGACATGGTTACATTATCTGACATGGTTACATTATCTGACATGGTTACATCATCTGACATGGCTACATTATCTGACATGGTTACATTATCTGACATGGTTACATTATCTGACATGGTTACATTATCTGACATGGTTACATTATCTGACATGGCTACATTATCTGACATGGCTACATTATCTATGGTTACATTATCTGACATGGTTACATTATCTGACATGGCTACATTATCTATGGTTACATTATCTGACATGGTTACATTATCTGACATGGTTACATTATCTGACATGGCTACATTATCTATGGTTACATTATCTGACATGGTTACATTATCTGACATGGTTACATTATCTGACATGGTTACATTATCTGACATGGCTACATTATCTATGGTTACATTATCTGACATGGTTACATTATCTGACATGGTTACATTATCTGACATGGCTACATTATCTATGGTTACATTATCTGACATGGTTACATTATCTGACATGGTTACATTATCTGACATGGTTACATTATCTGACATGGTTACATTATCTGACATGGTTACATTATCTGACATGGCTACATTATCTGACATGGCTACATTATCTGACATGGTTACATTATCTGACATGGCTACATTATCTATGGTTACATTATCTGACATGGTTACATTATCTGACATGGTTACATTATCTGACATGGTTACATTATCTGACATGGCTACATTATCTATGGTTACATTATCTGACATGGTTACATTATCTGACATGGTTACATTATCTGACATGGTTACATTATCTGACATGGTTACATTATCTGACATGGTTACATTATCTGACATGGTTACATTATCTGACATGGCTACATTATCTATGGTTACATTATCTGACATGGTTACATTATCTGACATGGCTACATTATCTATGGTTACATTATCTGACATTGTTACATTATCTGACATAGCTACATTATCTATGGTTACATTATCTGACATGGTTACATTATCTGACATGGTTACATTATCTGACATGGCTACATTATCTGACATGGCTACATTATCTGACATGGCTACATTATATGTCATCGCTGTCCAGCCCGCTCTAAAGACTGGCCGGAAGTGGAGTGTCCTCGATGCGATAGAATCTGCCCAGAATGCACTAAAATTGAGAGAGATAATGGGATACACTCAAACCGACCGTCGAGGCCTAGGGCACGGGAAGGTCAATTGGTGGTCAAAAGCCTCAGCCAAAGAACGCCGAGACATGGTAATACAACAGGTGAGGGACAACGAAAACGAGGTTCAGGTCCAGAAAGCAGCCCAGCAGTCGCAGCAGGGCCATTGGGTCAGCCTGGAGAGCGCATTGCCAAGAATACTCACATGGGGTGAGATCTGGCGGATGACCCCGCTGCGACTGAGCTTTATCGTTCGTTCGGTGTACGATGTATTACCGTCCGGTGTTAACATGGTTAAATGGTCTGCGACCAACGATCCGACTTGCCCGTTGTGCAAATCGAAGCAAACTCTTGAGCACGTCCTGTCCACGTGCAGGAAAGCCCTAGGTCAAGGCCGATATACCTGGCGACACAACAAGGTGCTAAAAGAGTTAGCAGCCATTGTCAACCAGGCTAGAATGAGGGCTAACGTCAGAGCCAGTTCTAGCATCGTCCCCATTCGTTTCCTCAAGGCTGGGCAGGTTCCAAAAGGTAAGGTCAACCAAAACGCATTTGCTCCATCTGTGCTAGACTCTGCGAGGGACTGGTTACTGGCGGTTGATCTGCCAGGCCATAAACGGTACCCCGAGTTGATCCGTAAAACCGGCCTGCGACCGGACATAGTTCTCCACTCTGCGCAAAAACGGCAGCTCATCCTGATTGAGTTGATGGTCCCGTTGAGTCGCGTATGGAGGAGAATCATTTGTACAAGCTCGAGAAGTACAGTGATTTAGCAGCCGGTCTGAGGAGAAACGAGTCATACACAGTACGGGTCTTTGCCGTCGAAGTGGGAGCGAGAGGCCTCGTTTCCACTTCGCTCTACAATGTGGTGAAAGAACTAGGGTTGCGCGGTAATGAACGGAAATGAACCATCAAAAAACTGGGAGAGGTAGCCGAAAGGGCCTCTAGCTGGCTTTGGACGCAACGCAACAACGTAGGGGACGGGCCTCGGTGAGCTGGTCCGGGTGTCTAGTGGAAAAGGGTTTCTCACCCCTTGAAAGTCCATCGTGTCCGAATTGTCTGCCAGTGTTCCTCTGCCACCTGCTAATAAAAGTCCAACATGTGTCCGGTAAACCAAACGTAAGCTTGTCGCTCGGTCGTCCAGGCATGCTGACTGCTTTAATTAGGCTGCCGTGGCGATTTCTTATCTCACAGTACCTTCTGCGAAACCACCAAGTCGTCTTGTCTCTGGCCAAAAGTAAAACACCATCCGGTAATTTCGTGCAGCAGGGAACCAGCCCTGAGCTTCATGAACTCAGGAGGGCCCACCTCCGAATGCGTCTAGGAATCGTGGGCCGAAACGCGTGTCGACGAGGATAATTTCTACTGACGACTGGTAGATCCCTGCTGTACTTGCTCCCTGTGAGTTTATTCCTATTGTACGTGGCTAGCCCACAAGACTACCAGGAAAGACTGGTGACTATCGGGAAAGACCTTTTGACACCTATGGAAAGACTGGCCCCCCGGTATCGCCGGGGGGATAAACTGACATCTGGAGACAGATGTCGACTGGACCGGGTTGATCACCCCTAACACAGTATAATACCTCCGATTTCGTACAACCACAAAGAAATATGCCCCCAGGGCCCTCCGAAAGGGGGGGAGAATGAAGGGCCCAATCCAATTGATACTCTCGGTGACGACTATGCTAGCCCCCGGACTCAGATACTCGCCCAACGTCCGTGCTGGCTCTGTACATGTGGGAAAAGCTTCACGGGGTTGCATGGTCTGAGAACGCATGCCGGAAGAATGAAATGCGAGGGTGCTCCACGCAGTAAACGCCGTCGCAAAACTACTACTCCTGTGGTAGTTTCTGAGTCGTCAGGGAACGACGGGCAGGGTGAACCCCACTCGCCCGGAGAGGCCCATGACGTCGACTGCGGAGGAGCACCTTTGATGATTTCTGAAGAAGTGTGTTCCAGAATCAGGTTTCCACCTGCGAGCGAGAAGGTGGTGTGGTGTAAGTTGGAGGCTACATTATGTGAGGTACTTAAACAGGATTTAAACAAGAAGTCGCTAGGCGACAAGCTTACAAAATTTGGTGATGTAATATATGAACACTGCTCCCGCGAGGTCGGGACAGTAGTAAAGGCACAGCCGGGTGCCAAGCAGAATACTAGCAGGAGGCAGAGGGAAATTCTGAAGTGTCGGGCAGACAAGAATGCCCTCAGAAAACGGTTCAAAGCCGCTACAGGTAGCGAACGGGAGGGGCTGTACGAAGTTGGGTTGCATTTAAAGAACAAACACAGTGCCCTCTGTCGCGCCGAGCGTTTCTGTAACAACAGACGTAGAACCAAAAGGGAGCGAGAGAAATTCTTTAGGGACCCGTATCAGTTTGCCCGAGGTCTATTCGAGCAACCGAAGTCTGGGACTCTGGTTGTCAGTCAGGATGAACTTGAGCTACATCTACGCAAGATGTACTCTGACAAAAAGAGGAGAGAGCCTCTCGATGACAATCCAGAGATCCTTAGCGGCCTTAAACAGCCTTCGGTGCCGAAGGTACCATTTAAAATGGTACCTCCCCTTTGGTCTGAGGTTGAGGAAGTTGTGAAAAAGGCCAGCGGCAAGTCTGCCCCAGGTCCGAACGGTGTCCCGTACGTTTTTTACAAGCGCTGCCCGAAAATCCTAAAAATGCTTCACGTCTTGTTGAGACAAGCGTGGATCCGCAACCACATATGTCCAGAGTTGTCAAAGGCAAATGAGGTCTACATTCCCAAAGAGCAGGACTCGAAGAGTCTTTCCCAATTCAGGCCCATCTCGCTGTCGAGGGTAAGATATTCTTCTTGGTCATGGCTCGCCGGCTCACACAGTATCTGATGACTAACAAGTACATAGATACGAGTGTTCAGAAGGGTGGTATTCCAGGCGTTCCTGGGTGCCTTGAACACGCGACCATGATTTGGGAGGCTATCCAGAGAGCCAAGCATGAGAGAACACAATTGCACGTGATATGGTTGGACTTAGCCAACGCCTATGGGGCAGTTCCCCATAGGCTACTGTGGCGAGCCCTTCGCATGTTTCACGTACCGGCACAGATCAATCAAATGATCGAGCAATATTTCTCTAAGTTCGCTTTGCGCTTCTCTACCTCGACGTTTACCACGAGGTGGACTGAGTTGCAGATTGGGATAGCTATGGGCTGTACGATCTCACCCATACTGTTTGTCATGGCAATGCAGATCATGTTAGACGGGGCGGCCGGCTACGGACAGGGCCTTCAAATTGGGGACCACTGAATGCCACCATTATGTGCCTTTATGGATGACACAGTATCTGATGGCTAACAAGTACATAGATACGATGTGTTCAGAAGGGTGGTATTCCGGGCGTTCCTGGGTGCCTTGAACACGCGACCATGATTTGAGAGGCTATCCAGAGAGCCAAGCTTGAGAGAACTCAATTGCACGTGATTTGGTTGGACTTAGCCAACGCCTACGGGGCAGTCCCCCATAGGCTACTGTGGCGAGCCCTTCGCATGTTCCACGTACCGGCACAGGTCAATGATATGATCGAGCAATATTTCTCTAAGTTCGCTTTGCGCTTCTCTACCTCGACGTTTACCACGAGGTGGACTGAGTTGCAGATTGGGATAGCTATGGGCTGTACGATCTCACCTATACTGTTTGTCATGGCAATGCAGATCATGTTAGACGGGGCGGCCGGCTACGGACTGGGCCTTC